GCCTTGTTGGAATACAATTCATTTTGGTTACGTTACAGTTACGTTTCGTTTCTTTACGTTACGTAAGTTTTTGCCAAGAGATCGCAGCTTCATTGTTGGTTAGCACTCATACTATTGCTTTTAAGCTAAATATGATATATTAAAAAAGCGATATTACAAGGCCACTGAGCAAAAAAACGAACATTCAGTGACTACATGCGCTGTGGCCGCTGGAAGCTAGCAATCCTAGTTGGCTTTAGAGATCGGAATGGTCATCATAGCTTGTGTTGGAAAAGCCTGTAGTTGGATCGGTACTTGTCCACTTTCGATTTCCGACATTTCTAGTATGAGGGATTTGTACAGGATTTTACTTTAAGCTTGAAGAAAATCCTGTCCCAAAATAACGAAATTAGAGCACCGTAACGACCAGATGCTTATTTAGAACAGCAAGATTCAATATCTTTGCATGGTTTTCTGACCTAAACCCTCTAGGGTGTAATTAAATGCCTGATAACTAATACTTAGTCACCTGCACTAGATCTAACCCTAAGCAATTATTATTGCTCAACACTTTTTTTCTTCAAAAGCATGTTATTTGCCACTGTATTTCTACCACATCATAGCTTCTGAAGCCTTGTTGAAATACAATTCATTTGCGTTAGGTGACAATTACGTTTCGTTTCTTTACGTTACGTAAGTTTTTGCCCCGAGATCGCAGATTCATCGTTGGTTATGCACTCATACTATTGCTTTTAAGCTAAATATTATATTCGAAAAAAGCGATGTTACAAGGCCACTGAGCAAAAAAAAAAAAACAAAAACGAACATTCGGTGACTACATGCGTTGTGGCTGCTGGAAGCTACCATTCCTATCGTTGGCTCCTGCGATCGGAATGGTCATTATAGCTTGTGTTGAAAAAGCCTGCAGTTGGATCGGTATTTGTCCACTTACGAGATGATGATACGGATAGTCAGACTAAAAAAGAGGAAAGAAACATCAAGTTGAATAATGAGAAAAAGATGGAAAGGAGAAGTAGACAGAAAGGGAGGGAAAATGGTTGAGGGGAAAGAAGGGAAGATGTGCTCGTAAAATGCTTGAAAGTTGCCTGCTGAACAACACAACGAAAACGTTGCTGAAAAAGTGCCAAAAGTCCGAAAACTTGACAACACTGTTCGGAAATAGATGGTTAGAGGCCGCCTTTCTTCACGAGCAGCTCTTTAAAACCATGTTTATTACCGTGCAGATCGAAAAATGTAGCTTTTTAATTAACGTTTGTATAAAAGTACTAAGAAATTTAAGAGGACACTTTTAAACATTAGGTAGAAGTGAGAGGGAACAGGAGAGAGAAAAAGAGAGGGAGGAATAAAGAGAGAAGGAGTGGAATATGAGGTGTGGGGAGGAGCGACAGGGATGGAGGCAATGGAGAAGGAAGGTAAGGTGAGACGAAGAAAGTCAAAGTAAGTCATACGAAAGCAAAGGATGATAAAGGGGAGATGAAGTGAGAGTCCTTGCTTTTAGACTTCAGTGACCTATTCGATTAACACTTTAACCCTTAAGACTGATTAGTAACTATTTTCTCCTA